TCTAGGGGGTAGCAGGGTGGAGGTGGACAGGCTGGAATATGCACAGCTGCAAAGGATTTGTGTGCATAACAACAAAAAAATTGCAGCTAAGTAGAAACTCTCAGCCTCAGTGCTCAAATTCAAAATAACCATCTACTAAAACGTAGAAAGGATAATCACTTCACATGAAATAAAAAAGGCAACACTATTGGTTTTAATTAAAAGTCTCTTCCGTAGCATAATTTATACAAACAGACCATATAACCTGACCTTTAAACATATGGAACAGTTCTGTTAATTTCTAACTTTCTACTACAAATTGTGTTTACTTCTGTGGAATAAACTTTACAGTAGGCAGAAATAACAGGCTGTACTTCAAAAAAACCACCATAGGCAGTGGATAATGTAATCTTGTGATACTAAGTCACAGAAAAATCTGCAGCAAAAGGTACTGCATTTACTACTTATTAATATATTCACAGTGAGGAATATGGTATGTGAAAACTGCTAAAAGACACAACTGTGTATTTCTGTCAGGTCTGTGTACAGACATAACATAAAAATAGTCCAAGCCCATGTCATTACAGCTGTTTATGTACACAGGAAGCAGACAAAGTTCAATTGACAGATTTAAATTTATAATGTTCTGACCACTAGATTTTGCAAGTGCTTGTGTCTTCTGAAAATTTAAAACCCCGTAAGAATGAGAATCCATAAATTTGAGCCCAAATCCCCAGAAATATCAAAGTTGCACAGTTCCCATCCTTGATGCACCACCACCAGGAAGGAGCTTTTAAAAGGCCCTTCAATGAATGGAGTAACTCTTCTGAACAACAGAAAACAATTTTTAAGGATATTACATTTGGCAAAACCTGCTGCTAGAGGGACATGACTTGCCAGTAGTATTTATGGATATCTTCTGAAAGTAAAGGACAATGGTCCAAATTAAGCTTGAGGTTCATGGGACAGAAACACTGAGGTTCTACAGGTTTTTACCAAAAAAAAAAAGGTGGAATAGATTTTTCGACATAGAAAATGCTACATTTTTTTCTCTATGCTCTGTGAAGAGTGGCATAGTTTTTCTCGAAAATTTCCTCCAAAAGGAAAAAAAAAAAATAGCTTGCAGCAGATATGCAGTATGGAAAATGCTAATCTAAATGGTTAACATATAGACAGACTTTGTGCAACTGAACATACAGTTTTAAGGGAAACCGTCAGGCAATTTTATCTATAGGTGCTGCTACCTGCTTTGCCTCTAATTACCTTTTATCAATTCTCATCATTGCTGAAGAGGGAGAATAAAAAAGACAAGGAAAGAGTTTTTCATGGGACTTCAATGCTCTTTTACAGAATATTTTAACATACAATAATGTCCTGTCACCATCACCTAATCCACACAAAAAAATCTTAAAGAACTTTTTAAGGCTGTTCTTGACAAGAGCAGGGACCACTGAAGGAAGTGAACTTTGTCTCTTTGCCATGTTGTAGGGGTGGCAGAGGGTACAGCTCAGACTCGTGGTGCCCACAAGGACTTGTGCCTGGCTCCCTTCCCCTCCGTGCCCAACAGCCCTAACACATCACTATGCTTTGTGCACATGAAAAAAAAAGAGCAGTAGGTTGTAGGGTACAACTTGCACAGTTGGGCTGGTGCTGTGGGAGCAACACAGAGACCTCTCACTCTGTGGACCTCGCTGGACTGTCTCCTGCATCGGGGAGGGAAGGTACATGGTCAGCAGAGGAGTCTGCATGCATCTGTGTGTGTGCGTGCATATATGTGAGTGCTGGTGTTAAGAACTTGTACGAATTAAGTAAGATTTTGTAAGTGGCTGATGTTGTATTACTGATGCTGAACATATCATCCACGACTTACCTTCTAATTGGGTGTTGTTAATAACTTTCTAAAAATGATTCAGTCTTGGTTCTGATTTAACTAGGTTTTTATCCCACAAAAAGCATCACTGACATAAGGATGCTGCTGAAGCATCATAGCCCCGTCTCCCATTGCCTGCCTTGAGGTGTAGCACGTGGTCCTAATAGGATACTGCTGGCCGCTTGTGTATACAAGGGCTATTTCTCTTCAAAACCATGCAAAACCTTGCAAGTAAAGAAAATGGGAGAGAGGAGGCAGGACAGATAAAAATGAGCAGCAAACTGAGAGGCACAAAAGGAGATCTGAGACTCTCCTGAAGGACGGTGAGACAAAGAATGCCAGGATGAATGACACCATGGAAAAGGATGCACAGCAGCTGAGGAGATGACAATATAGGTTAGAAATATTAACAGATAAGGAGGGGAAGATGAAGCAGCGATGCTGAAAATGGCACTCAAAGAGCAGTCAGCAAGATGGGAAGGACTAGAAAAGTAGAAAAATAGAAAAAGAAGGGGAAAGAGAAGACAAGGTAGCAACTTCTTGTGCTGGAGGGATGAGAGAACTCAAACAGAACATGAAGAAATAAGTATTTGCTTGAACTGCCTAAAAAAGCAGACACCAGGAAAACAGTTTTGTCTAAGAGAGACAGATAAAGGAGGACTGGGAAGTATCAGGGGAAGTAGAAAGCCACCTGAGCAAAACACCTGGAGGCATGATTAGAGGGATGGTGGCAGCCTGAGAAGGTTTTGCAATAAAATTAAAAATTAAATGGTTCTAGTCAAATCAGGAATGAAGAGGAAAATTCAGCATGAGAAAAACAAAATTGGGAATAACAAGGAAAAAAATTTTCTCTGTATCCTGTTTCTTACATTTTTTCCCCTCAGTATCTGAAACCTTGAAAAACAGGAGAAGTCTGAACTTAAGTCTGATGTAATTTTCACTAATTAGAGCATTAAAAAATTTCTGTTCGGGAAAGCGCCTAAGTCTCAATTGAGTGAAAAGGAATTAGACAGAGGCTAATGTAAATCTAACTTTAAGTGCTTCCGAACTGACACTCCTGGATCGTCAACACAGTCTCTGAATTAGCACCAAAGCTGCAACAACACAGAGACTATGCTGCCAATGCTGTCTGTGAATCAACTGCTTCAATGTGTGTAAATTTTTTTGTTTCTGAAAATTATCAACGTTCATGTAGAAGTTGGAAGTTGTTACTCTAGATGACTCCAAACCTGCATTTGTCCATCAGCTGGTAGAGAACTAGCAACTAATTCAATTTGACAGCAATGTCCTGTTAGGATCTGTGTGCATTTATTTCTTGTTTTCAGCACAAGAGCTGACCACTGAAGGAAATTTAGTCTGCACACATAAATTTATTTAATTGGTTAATTTGTGCGATATCATTGCATATTATTACTTGTATTGTTTTACAATAAGAATGAAAAACACACTCCAGCAAAACTCATACCTAGAGTGGACTGCCGCCCATGATTCTTCGATTGTATTTATTCAAATTAACCAGAACATTTATGTCAAAAGAATTAGGGACAGAAAACGGGTACAACTGGTGCAAAAAAAAATTGATAAATTCAAGAACTGTTAATCCCTTTCTCCTTTAACTGTTCGTTAATAGGTGTTGCAGGGCTGGTTAGAGCCAACTAGCACCTTTGAAAAGAAAATAAACAGAAAAATTTCTGGATGAGCTCAAGGTCAGGTGCAGCTTGAGGCTCTAAAATCAAAATACAGACTAAAATTTTCCTTTTTCTTTTTTTTTTCTTAGACAATGTGGTGAAAAGTTCTGCTTTTATTCATAATTTCTTGACATAACAACACAAAGAGCTAATATTACATCACTGTATGAAGCGTAATAAAAAACCCATAATTTTCAGGCTTAAAACTAAACTCAGATCAACAGTGAGTCCATTTCCTATGTCCAATCCCATTGGGAGGGCACAGTCCACGCCTGGGTATTGAGGGAGCAGTAGGAGAATCAGAGGCTAGTAGACAATCAGATGCAACTAAACATCAGAATGACCCATCACTGTAGTCCTGTGCAATAATACACAGCTGCCAGTTTATCAAAAACAGACATGAAAGGTGAGGCAAAACCTTGTAGAGACCTGGTCATTATGAAATTAGGTTTGGAAGAGATGTTATAAGATACATTACTAAATGTCCTGCAGTCTCATAAGCCCCAAAGTAAGGTTATATGTCAATACCCTCCCTTTCCACCTCAAGCAATACCTCATTTCAGGGGAGAATTACCGTATTTTATTCACTCACATGCAGTGAGCCTTGAAATTAGTGTCTATCATTCCTTTCTTCCTATTCCCATCTCTGTCACTAATGCCGCCTTTATAAAGCTATGGTTTTCAAGGTATCCGGGCCCAACTGTTCTCTCTTTTCTTCCTCCACCCATCATCTCACCATCTCTAACAAGTTTTAGCTCCCTCAGTAACTGTTATGTTCTCACTTTTACTTGCTTTCCAGCTCCCTTTTCTGTGTTCTTTGGATACCTCAAGAGTGTATCCGTCCTTCTGGCATATGCCTTCTTCCTCCCTTCACACCTTCACATGCCTCTCATGTCCTGTGTCTGCAAAACTCATTTCCAGTATACACGCTCTGTGTGGCTTCCTTCCCTTTCTGCTGTTTAATCTGGAAGAAGAAACCTGATTCAAAGTATTGCACTGCCACTCCTTGAGCTTAATAAAAGCCTTTCTTTCACACAGTCCTACAGACCAATGATTGCTTTCTCCTTGCTGGGGACCAATCTCTCTGACATTCCTCCCCTTGCTAAACCTGAAACACCTCGTGAGTTCTCCACATTCATCTATGATGTTTTACATATTGACACTTTTCCATTGTCCTACTTCTTCAGCTTCTGGGGAGGATTTATTTCACTCAGGACAAAACTTGCCACAAGTTTCCGAGCATCTACCATCACTGCTGACTTCAGTCTTCCTTTAAATATTTATTTATTTTAAAGACCATCTTGGATAAAACTTGTAAAGATTCCTCCCTACAGTGTAAGTTATATGTCTTTTCAGCAAACAACACAGTACGGAAACAAACAGCTTTATAATATTGTTATATTTTTCTCATGTAAGAGCAGTCTCAGAGATGCCACAGATGCACAAAACTGGCTGCACCTTACCTTTGACATGGCTTCTCCCATCCTCCAACAGTGGTACTACTATAGTGTTGTTCATATTCCCAGGTGATCTCACAGCTGTATAGACAACAGGTACCGACTGTACCACCACAGGGATACGGTGCACGTGACTCATTTTGTTGGACTGCAAGTTCATGGGACTTGAAGGTGGTACTGGATGGATAATGTGCAAAAACTGCTGGCCTCCAACACCAGATGCAGAGGCCACAAGAGGACCTGGAGTTAATACTGACGGTACAGATGCCGCTGAGGACACTGATGTTATTACAGTGGGTGATGAAGCTGGTCGACTAGAAGAAGAAGTAGAAGAAGGGGAGGAGGCTGATGCTGTCATGGAAACCGGTGAAGATGAAGCTGCTGTAGGGGATGACCTAGCTTTGTTTATTGACAAGTCCACTGGTTCAGTCTGTGTTTGGAAGTGGTCTGTAGATAATGAATCCTCCGTGGGGTCTGCCTTCATGTTGTTTAGTAACAAGGGTACAGCATCCATATCTGGGTAGTTGTGGACGTTTGGAGACTGTTGAGGAAGTACAAAGGGACATAGTTACATATGTGGCTAGAGACAACTTGCACACACAATTGCTAATGCACATCACACAATTTGGTCATGAAAGCCACAGGACTTCTTTCCTTTTCTTGTGTCAGCTCATAATGTTAAAGTACAAATCATGCTAGAAAGCACAGACATGTTCAGTTTGAACAGAATATTAAAAAACCCCAGTTCTACTCTATTTCTTAGAAGGTGTCAGGATTTACTGTACAAAATCACCCTCTTTCTTTGCACTACACAAAGTCATCAGTGACAAAATTTTTTGTATCTTCACGGCTAACAACTATTTATATAGACAGAACATTTTTTTCCCAATATCTAACTCTAAACCACTGCCTGTTACTCTCGTGTCATCTACACACATGAAGAAGACATGAAGAAAAAATGGTTACTGACAATTCTCAAACAACTTTCTGCATGCTCAAAGACTGTAATTCCCCCCTATTTGTCTACATTTCTCTAGCCAGGCAAACCTGGCTTCTTCTTTCTTCATATGCCAACTTTAAAAGAACAAGCCTTAGTACCCTTGTTTGCTCTTTACAGCAATTTTGTACTTTTGTCCATGCCACTTTTCAGAAGGCCTCACACTACTCGCAGTCCTTCAGTTCAATGTTTGACTTCTGCATTCTGCATAGTTACTGACAATGACCTCACGGGTCTGTACAGAGCCCGACATTCGTATGGCTGCCCTGTTACAGGCAGCAATGGTTACAGCAATTCATTATTCTGAACTAGCCCATTAGACAACTTTCCCCCTTGTTATTTGTTTTTATTTTTCCATACCAAATAAGAACAATTTTCCTGACTTCACAAAATAATTTTATGCTTCAGACCAACTCTTTCAAAGATGGGTTGACTAAATTTATTCTAAATAGGTGCCATCTGCTATTTTTAAAGTTTTCCTTATTTCCATCATCAGGTTAATAGAATTTTTGAATAATGCTAGGCCAAAGATAGATCCCAGGAGAAGCTCATTGGATATGTCTTTCCATTTTGACAGTACATCATTAATAACTAGCCTTTAAAAATGTTTTTTCAATGAATTTTCAACAGGCAGAGCAAGGATGGAAATGCCCACTGATAACCTGGCAGTAAGACAAAGCACAGCTCTCAGCTCTTCAGCTAAGTACCTCCACAACACTGCACTGCAGTAGAGCTTCTCTACAGACAGGCACACACACACAGTTATGGCAGTAGCACAGAAAACCAAACTCAGTATAAAACGTTTGCCATGCTACTTCAAATCTCACTTGACCCAAAGCAATTATTCCATATACAGATCTAACAAGCAATCTTTTTACAGTACCTAAGCAGCTCTACATGCATTATCTTGATCTCTAGATTACAATATTTAGTAAGTATCTAAAAATATTAAGTCAGAAATATTTAAGCTAGAAATACTTTAACACATCTACTCTAAATAAACTAACAATCAAGCAAACTATTAATTCATTTTGTGATTTTTATAATCAAGTATGCTAAATATTTTCATAGAAAACACTCCTTGTTTTGTGTCAGAGTCAAATTTCAACACAGAATGGAGTTCTATTGCAAAAGGAAAATAGAAACACTAATATTAAAAACTCCAATAAGTGGATATTATTCCTGGCATGCTGAAACATGAGATGTTCTAGTAGATCTAGCTGATTTAGTCTGGTTCTTGAATCTGACATTTCCCCCCATTTGAAAGCAAGAACATCTCTAGAACAGTGAGTCTCTTTCACTATTCACACACAAATCAATACAAAATAAAGAGACCACCATCTAAATAAAGGATTCACCCGGATCCTTCTGTTCTGTTGTAATACAAATAACAAAAGCAAAAAATCCCATTTTGTAAAGACAATGGGAAGATCTGCTAAGAAAGAACACAGAGTGAAGACCAGGTTACTTTTCAAAGTGCATAAACAGCTACAAGTGAGAAGGCCATGAAAACTTCTTCCTCAAGAAGGCAAACCCGCCTGTAACTGCCCAGTAATGATTCCTCTTAATTTCCTCTGAAACCACCTTGCTGGGATTATTATCCATGAGATCCCCCATTGTGTCATCATGAAGTCAAAACCATAAACATACACGGCACAAGCAGTTCATTTGTCAAGTTATACTTGCAATTGGGGAGACTGGTTCTGCTAAACTAAACAGACTGGTGACAGAGGAAAGGCAAAGCAGAGAGGGACACCCTGCACAGGCTATACCCAAATCTTCATAAGGCCAAAGGCAACATCTTCTATCTTAAATGTTCAAGAGAAGGGGGATAACTTGCATACAAGGGAGATGAGGGATCCCCTTGTGCACATGGCTGCACAGGTGTCATATAGAAGCAGTACGAATTGCCAGCTCTGTGCACAGGGCAGATAAATCCACCATGAAGGAAATCCTACATGTTGCCATACTTCCAGGTTTCCCCTGAGTGCCAAAGGCAGACCCAGTGCTGCCTGCCTCAGCAACACAATGTGTTATTCTGTGACCTGAAGGATGTATTACCTGCTGTTGCTGTCCTTCCTTGCTCTTCAGAGCACCCTAAAGTGCTCTGAGGGAACTGGGGACTTGATGTACCCAGTGTATGCATGTCAGACTGCTAGTTGTGGTCTTCTGATTTCCAAGATACTTCTGAGACTGGACACAAAGAATCCACATGGATCTCAAAAGCAGTCTATCAGCAAATGGAGCACATCTGCCCCAAAGTCCCTCTGGCCTTTGCAGCAAGCAGCACTAGGTCCCCCACAGGAAGAGTAAAGAAGAACCCCAAACCCTTACGTAGCTAATGGCACACGAAGTATTTGTTCTATGGATAGAACTAATGGTCTTTGCGACAAAGCACGGGTCATTAGCTTACAGATTTTTCTAGACTATGCTAAGAACAGCCCTTTGTTTTACTCAGTATTTACACCTAGTCTTTTGAGAATTAAAAAAAAAAATTATCATGTAACTTCAGACTATCATAGAGATCACATTCTCTTTTAAGAGCTCTTCTACATTTACTTTTGTCTGTATGTTCCTTGTATTGCATCTACTCTTCCCTAGATACTCTCTTCTTGTCCAGAGCTGCTGGAGGGACCATGCAGTCTCTGTGTACTATGGTAATGTCATTGATATTATTATTATTATTATTTCAGTCTTCAGCAGTGAAACTAAGCATGAAACTTCACAATCTCTTCATGATTTTCTCCAAACGGGACGAAAACTGGTATACCCTTCAATGACCTCCTTTCACTGCCAAAACTGTAAGACTAAGAATGCCCTTTTTTTTGTAAATTCAGGCTATGACTGATGTCAGATGACATTACAAAGACAGAGGATCCTTATGAAAACAGGTTTGTACATCTCATATTTAAGATAAAAATTGTAAGCAAGTGCTATATTTTGTTCTGCTGGTGGTGAGCAAAGACCTACTCCAAAAACTCACGCTCCCTTACAGTGACCTACGACCAGTTTGTCCATGATCTCAAATTTTATCTAAGTTGCCAAAACTCTATTTAATCAGTATGTGATTCAAAACTTTGAACATTAAATTTATCATTATTTTCTGAAAATGGATGTTATAAGTAAACTTCTCCTAATGGTGACTTTTCCAGAATTAAGAACTACAGGATGAAACATAGCAATGAAGCTGAAAGGGATGGCTGAATTCTCAGCACACTATTTCTTAGCATCTCCCACTAATGTTATTAACTGAGAATTAACTGTTCATTTCCCTAGACAATGACTGTTGTTGTTAGTTTTATTTAATGGAACTACATCTTTTCTAATTGAGAAGATAATAAAGCTATGGCTGGGATATTCAGAGGTATACCGTCAGTCATTCTGTCAGCTTATAAAGCCAATTGGATGAGAAACAAATAGTTGTATGTTTATTTCTCCTGTCTCTCTAGTCCTGTTTTTCCATCCTCATCTAGTGAACTGGGCTTCTTCTGGTGGTGTGGGCTCAGCTAATTGCTGGTTTGGGAATCTGCAGCAGGTTTTTTGTGTCTGGCTCTCAAAAGTGCCTGTACTGGTTTTGCGAACTTCATTTCAGTTTTATGAGTCTAAACTCTGTAGTTGACAGTTTGGCAGCTTCCGGAGCATTTGGTGGGTTAGAAAGGGTTCAGCCTGAGGTCCCTGAAACTGAGTGGGCTGCCTTGGACATATTTCCCAGACCACGGAAATACAACATGAAGGGGTAGAGCTCCACGTGGCTTCCCTCATCTCACTGCTCCTGCCTGCTGGTACAAAGGAGACGGACAGCTTCAGCCCTGGCATCAGCTGGGACTCAGGAGCAAATCTCAGCAATGCCTCTCTCTGCAACATTGCTGTTGCATCCTTATGCTGTTCACCATCTACTCAAATCCAGTCTGAGACAGAACTGGAAGGCAGGTTAGGATGGCTCGTTGCTACAAAAGGCTTTTTAATAAAGCTGCAGCCTCTATTAATCAATGCTCTTGGCTCACACTTCTGTGCCTGCCCTTTTAAAGCTGTACACCAGTATTCTCTGCAGTGCTCTGTTTCATTAGCTTGTCATTAATAAACACCGTCAAGAACATAACACATGATTTCCCTATTCATGAAGCTTTTTTGGCTGAGTAAAAAAGCATTCCTTACTGCCTTATTACCAGACCATTATGGAAAAACAACCAGTCAACCTCACAACAAGCCATAATACCCTGAGCAAAGCATGGGAAGTTGTGGTTGATAACATCCCATCTGCTGGATGGCCATCCTTTCCTGCACAGTTCTTCCTCATCTTCTTTCCAGCCCCCTGAACTCTACCTCCTCTTAACTTACTTGAGAGGAAATTTTGCAATAGCCCCCTTCAATTCTCTTATTTTACTCATTGCAATCTCCCCTGTGTACCAACATTGTCTCCCATCCATAACCAAGCCATGAAGAGCTCAGATTTTCCATCCAGCTACAGTTTAAACCAGACAAAAAGCAAAGATCATTTTGTTTTCAGCAACTCATCCTCACACCTTGAAGTTCATCAGCTTCAC